TTAAAGACGCGTTCTCAGCCGGGCTGTATGTGTTTAAATTTCATCGGTCCCTAACCGGGGGCATACGGATAGCCGCCTGGCTAAGCTCAGCTCTACCAGTCAAACTATCCGGGGGGCAATATACCCAACCCCACTCCGTCTCTATTACGCACGGCAATAATACTTGGAAAAATTTCTAAGCAAATTTAAAGTGCAAGTAGGAAGAAATCATTCAATAAAGCCGGCACAGCCGGTAAGAAAATGTATATTAATATTCAAAATAAAAAACGATAGCAGAGTAAGCCGACTCATCCGGCGCGATTACAAGATAATGCATGGCACGCAGGCCGGGAGGTCGTTGCTATTCTATCTGCACGGTCACCCGGTCAGCTTGAGCCTGAGTCCCTTCCGGATGAGATGGATCGGTGGTGGGGATGGAGCTAGGAACAACTTCATCCTCGACTGCCTCCTCGTTACCAGCCGCTTCCTCCTGCATCCGCTTGAACTTCGCCTCAACCCACTGTTCATAGGGTTTAGGCCCCGACTGACCCTCTTCTTCAGCCAAAATGGCGAGATCTGCATATTTGTAGACGAGCTCCCAGATGTTGTAGTCTGTACCCAGATGGATAATGGAGAACGCCCTCTTCATCCTGTTTTCGCAGTCTTGCTCATTCTCCTCAATGAGCCGGCTCTATTCTGCTTCAAGGTTGGTCTGGAAGCTGACCTTTGCAGCAGCCGCCTATTTGATCAGGCGGTCATTCTCTTGCTGCAGACGGGTGCTGGTCTTCTCCGCCCGATCCAGCCGTTTGAGGGGCTCCTCATGCTCCTTGAGCTCCTTCTCGGCATTGTTCAGAGCCGCCTGAAGATTGTCCAATTTGGTCTTGGACTCATTGAGGGCCTTCTGGAGGGTCTTAACCTGGTCTGCTTGTCGCATGATTATAGATTTAGTTTCTAAGTCATGCATAATCATCGAATATTCAGCAACGTTATGTGCGTCATCCGCAGAACGTTTGGCTCTCCTTACTTCCTCTTGTTTGCAGATGTAGGCCTTTTTGAGCCCCTCCACGCGGAGCAGTGCCTGCAACAATACAACCGGCGTCAGTAGAAAAATGTGCATACTACAAATTAAATGCCGGGTGGGTACTCTTAAGCTTACATCAGCTAGCTCGACCATCACACGGTCGGCATTGAAGTTGTTCATTCCAGGAATCGCCTCCTTCCTGTCCAGGGGGACGGCTTTCAGCATGGCTCGGACATGCTGAAATGCATCCGGCCAGCGAGGGGAATAATCTGCACCAGAAAAAGACGATGAGAAAGCTGCATATGCTCCGCCTATAGATTGCCGGCTGATCGGAGAATCTCCCGGCTGAGACTGAGAATAAGACTTAACCCGCATGGGCAGGTGAAGCAGCGCGAGGCTGAAGGGATTTGTACCTTGTTGTTGGAAGCCTCTCTGGCCTACGGCAGAAGATGGACCGGTTGTGGTCCTTATTGGTGTGACCTCTTTAGAAGTCGTTTCAGCATTTGACCCGCCTGGGGTCTTTATTGTTTTACCGCTGGTAGTAGCCCGGGCGGTTGAAGTGGTCTTCTGCACCTTAAGTACAGGCTCCTCTATAGTCGGCCTTAGTCGAATCTGTTTTTGCAGGGAGCGAGGAGTTTTGCTCCCATCCTGAAATGAAGTCACAAACGGTCAGGTGAAGAAATAACCAAAACAATAGCACAGCAAACAAGCCAAGAAAAAGTCAGGCGGTCTAACCTTCTTAGCCGCCTGAGCGGCAAGTTTTTTCTCCAGATTCTCCTTTCGGATGTCTGAAGCCTTTCTAGCAGGCGTTTTTGTTGTTGGCAACATTTTCTTTGCTTCTTCTGGAAAACACAAATCAATTACGTCCGGTCAAGGTCAATACAAAAGCAAGCAAGCATTATAATCAAAGGAAAATAGACATTCGCTATTAAACATGCCGGATGAGGTTTAACCTACGTTTTTCTAACATGTTGCTGAGCCCGTAGGCGGACAAAAAGGCCTCGTCCTTTAAAAACTCATGTTTGGGCACCCAGTTTCTGGGCACCCTTATTACCTCTCCGGTTGAGAGGGTGGAAGGGACAAGCTCGAAAAATTGGGAGTCCAGGATTGCCTCCCTGTCCCTTTCTGGTACTGGGGGTAACCGGCATTTCTTCCCCAGAAGTTCAGGTTTCCGGTTGTATGTCCGGAACTCCCTATTTTCCTCATTGGTGGGAGCCTTGACCAAGTAGAAGCGGCTCTTCCAATCTGACCACTTAGACGGCTTGTCAAGCGTCATGAGATATTGTGGGTAGGTGGTCAGGGTGTACTAGGCTCTCCAGCCGCCTGGGCTCCTACTCAGGTAGTGCATGCGGGCAAACGCCTCCCATCCGGGGTTCAAATCCTGCATTTCGCAGGCGGCGATATACCCAAGAATATTCACCCAAGAGTTTGGGGTGAGTTGCCAGACGCCCAGGCCATACCTTCTTAGTAAGGCCTTTATTGTGTCGTGAAGGGGGAAGCGGAGCCCCGCCAATAATGCCGCCTCATAGCAGCCAAACCAGCCGTCTACATTGCGCTGGTCATCCTCCCAAGCAACCGTTCCCCCAGCAGACGGGACCACCATTCTATATCCTGTGCCTAGGGGCCGTTTGAGGACGAAGTCAGCCAGATTGTCCTGCATCATGGCCCTGTCCTTTGTGGAGACGGTGATCATCAATGGATCACCTTTGGCTTTCTAGGTGGGTCTCTCCTCCTCCTCGCTATCAATGGATGGTGTTAGATAGCTAAAGCTGCTCTCTGCAGGATCGAGAGCAGAGCCGGAGGTGGAGGAGGAGGCCTCCTGAGAGGAGTTTCTTCGTTCTACGGAGGCGGCTTCCTCACCGCCTCCCTGATCAAGACCTAGGATTCCGTCACTAGGTGTGCTGGGAGTACCTCCGGGAGACCCCACTGTTGTCTCAATAGGGGTCCTCTCATCAGGCGGCAACTCATTAGAGCCACCGCCACTGTAGTTGAGGTCCACAGCTGTCCTCTTGGTTCTGGCCATTGTGTCCTGCACAGACACGGAGACGGTCGGATTGGGAGATAAACAAGGCAAATCCTAGGGACTACAGTCGGTGTTTCCAGTTCTAGACTCAGCCGTACTAATAGACCGGTTGGTCTCATTATTATGTTCCGGATGAGGGTATAAAGGGTCCATCTAACTATGGGACAAATAAGCGAGAAAGTAAACAAAAGACTCAAGCGAAAATACATGGAATAGCTTGAAAGAATAGAGGCGGTACCTAGAAGAGAGAAGGAGAAAACCGCTTGATCGCTGAGAATTTTGTGGGGATTGCTTGCAAAGACACAGGCGTCTATTGAGCCGGTTGTGTTGTCTGAAGTGCAGATGCAAATTTCGTTCGTTATCAAAGCCCTCAGACGGTTCAAAGCCGGATGATCGTGCGGTGTTTAATCTCTCAAATACCGGCTGCTCTAGAAAAATCAGAAAATTCGCAAAGTTTGTAAATGAGGATTCGGGGAGGGGATTTGCCTATTTATAGGCCTCTCCTTAGAAGGCGAGGAGTCCCAACTCTTCACCTTCTTCTTTTCCCTCCTTTTCACCCAAACATCTAGAATCCAAGAGATTCAAAAAAAAAAAAGATTCTTCACTAGCGCCACGTGGCACAGCCACGTCAGCACCTGTGAGGGGCAATTGTTTAGGGTAAAATTACCCTAGCCACATGGCCCAATGGGCTGGCGACACGTGGCACATCGCCATTAGTCAACAGGGCTCCAATCCCCTGTTGACACGTGTCCTTGGTACCCTCCATTGGGAACTTGTCTGCCCTACTATAAATAGTGTGGCAAACCTCATTAATGGGGTCATTCATAAATAAAAACACTATTACCGAGCAATATTAATTGTAGAATTCTCCCAATCAGCGAGAAGCATTTTACCTATTCCGTACTCTTTTCCTCCTGTACGTATACTAACTTGATCGTCGGAGGCGAAGCTCCTACCAACCGGAGTCTTCGTGATCTTGCAGGTACAGACATCCGGCAGCTCAGTCTTGGAATCGTAACTCTCCTGCAGGACACATCAAAAAACCCCGAAACAAAATTGTTGATAATGTTGATGAAATTGTTGTTTTAATTTGATAAAGTAGCCTACATTGTTGTTTAATTACGAAAATTATGTTATGTAGAATATGTTGGTTGTATAGTGTGAATATGTTCGGTATGTACTTTGTTTTGGTTGTTATGTGAATTGGAATAATGTTGGTTAATTATGTTTATAGTGTGAATATTTTGGTTGTTATTGTGCGAATTGGTGGAGATTGCATGCAATTAAGATGTGTTTTTGGTTGTTGTATAGAATATGGCTGCACAAAACGCAGCTTTGTTATGCCGATGGGGGGGTGAATTTGTGTCTGATGGACCGAATGTCCAGTATAGTGGTGGAAATATGGAACCATTGCCACTTGGACCGGACATGACTTTCAACGATCTGATGAACGAGGTTCATAGCATTATTGGCTTAAACCCAATGAATGTACAACTTAACACTCAAATGAGGTTTGAGACTAATAATGCGGTTCAAGTGTTACCTTTTTCTAACGATAGACATTTGAAAGCTTTGAGGAGCGCTGTTTTAATGAAGGGTTATCCACATGAGATATATGTAGAAATAGTGTCTACGTGTACGCAACAAAGTACTCGACCAGATCAACAAGCTACCTATTTTTCCGGGTACACAGAGTCCTTCCGAATGCCCTCACAAGACATTCCATCAACTGAATATGGGATGGGGTCCTTCAGTAGACTGCTTCATGACGATCGGTTCCAGATGTCGTTGAGTTCACATATAGCTTCACCTGTATATGGTGGACCATCTACGACAATGTTTGGCCAATCTGGGCCTTCGACATCGAACACAGTTATATCTTCTCCCATACAACTCTAAAGTTATTCACCTACGCAGCATGATGATCATACATCACCGTCTCAACCATTGGTGAATCATCTTGAAAATCTACAACATATGGTGAATAACGAGTTGTCTCTGTATGATGCGCTCCGGAAAACAAATGACGAGGATGAGAGCGAAGAGGAGGAACATGGACTAGATAACATGGATGTTGATTCTGCAGACATGGAAGGTGGGGAGGCCATGGTTAGAACTCCTATTCCTTGGTTAAGTCAAGTAAATGAGAATTATGAGGTTGATCAATATTGGGCCGAATCAGGTAGTCATACAACATTTGTGATTGGGGGAGAGTTTGAGAAGGGTATGTTATTTGAATCTAAGAAACTGCTTCAGGAAATGGTGAAGAAGTATTCTATACAAAAGAACCAATTCTATACCACAGTGACCTCGAATGAGAAGGTCCTTCATCTGCGGTGCAAGAAGGATTGTGGTTGGTCGCTACGAGGTACTAAAAAAAGTGAGCACTCAGACGGCTTTACCATAGTCACATACAACGGCCCGCACCGGGAGACCTGTGTCACTGAAGTGTTGTCTACAGATCATGCACACTTGGATTCATCCATAATTTCCGATTTTGTGAAGTCTTTTGTGCAGAAAGATCCATGCTTGAAAGTTGAATTTATACAGGAACTCATATCCAAGCATTTTCAGTTCGATGTTAGTTATCGAAGAGCATGGTATGCTAGGGAGAAAGCCATAGCTGAAGTATTTGGATATTGGGAGAGTTCTTATGGCAGACTTCTGCACTTCATGGAAGCACTCAAACAGTCAAACCCGGGAACTGTTGTTGTATGGAAACACAAAGCTCTGGTAGACGGTGTTTATTACAGCAACATGGAAGTGTTTGAACGAGTATTTTGGGCCTTCGGCCCTTGTGTTGAAGGTTTTAAACATTGTATGTCTGTCATCTGTATCGATGGGACGCATTTGTACGGGAAATTTAAAGGAACATTGTTGGTTGCTACAAGTGTGGATGCAAACTTCCAAGTATTTCTGCTTGCATTTGCGTTAGTCGAAGGGGAAAACACTTCCCGCTGGTCTTGGTTTCTGGGCTGCATTCGGGTTCATGTCACTCAACGAAGATGGTCTCTGTGTTATATCTGATCGACATGCTGGGATCATTGCAGCAATGAATGACCCTAACGTTGGATTCACCGAGCCGCGAGCCTATCACAGGTTCTGTGTTCGGCACTTGGCTTCTAACTTGAAGACTCACGTGCGAAGAAACGACATTAGAGATATGTTCAAGGCTGCTGCGTACCAAAGGCAAGAAAGAAAACTGCAAGCTGATTTGAGTTTGATCGGTCAGGCATGTACCAAGGCCATACATATTGTCCAAGTGCCCTTGCCTATGTGGTCTTTGTTTCACGACACTGGTCGCAGATATGAGATATGTACTATGAACTTCTCAGAAACATTTAACAATGTGTTGAAGGGTGCTCGATTTCTACCTATCATGTCCCTTGTTGAGTTAACATTCCACAGATTGAATAAGTATTTCACTGATAGAAGGGAATTATCTGAGGCTAGATCTGAAGAGGGACTTGCATACCCCCCCAAAGTCACTTCCACGTTGGAGAAAAACATCGCAAAGGCTAGATATCACAAAGTGGAAGCGTATAACCGTCGACTACATATATATCAAGTTGAAACAAAGAGGGGATATAGAATTGGTATAAAAGGAGGCCATAGACATACTGTTAACTTTCAGTTAAGAACGTGTACATGCAATAAACCACGAATCTTCCACCTCCCATGTTCTCATGTTCTAGCAGTTTGTGCGAAGTATTCGATATTAGAGCGGCCATGGGTGGATCGGGTACTGCAATCAGAGGCCTACGCAAACACATACGCTCCCCAATTCTGGCCTATCCCTTGTGAGACGACATGAAGAGAGTATGGAGGCCCTAAACTCATTCCCGAAAACAGCATGGTACGAGGACAAGGTCGCCCTAAGTCAGGGCGCATACGCAATGAAATGGATGAGACCAACCGTTCCGCGAGCAAATGCAGCCTCTGTCACCAGCAGGGTCACAACAAGAGATCGTGTCCATCTAGATCGACCGGGCACTAAGATTTTTTTTTTTATCTAGAATGATGTAGTAGAATAGTACGGTGATTGTATTTTTGCATTTCAAATGATTGTAATAGTTGGAGTATTTTTACATTGAAGTATGAGATTTAAATTCTGTATTTTGTTATCGCTTGTCTGTAATTGTTACTTTTTAATTGTTGGATAATAACTGTTAATGAACAGATACCATGGACACCTGAGATAGCACACCCAGACCCACCGACACTTCTGTCCTTACACTACAGGACACACATCACAGCGTTGACATTTGGACTCAGTCGGTTGATCCGGCGGGCATACTGACATGCAGGCACTACACTGTCGCGTTCCTTGGGGATTGGGTTATCGATCCCCGCATTCTGCCTTTCGTGGAGTACGTTGGCATCATGGGTATACATCGGATGGCGTTCAGAGATGTCGACCCAGCGCTTGTTACTGCGCTTGTGGAGAGATGGAGGCAGGAGACGCACTCCTTCCATCTACCTGTTGGGGAGGCGACCGTGACGTGGCGATACTCACACGGCTTCCCATTCATGGGAGTCCGGTGTCTGGATCTGCGTTGGCCAATCCCCCCGGTTATGTAGCTCAGGTTCTCTGGGTTCATCCAGGCCCGGACGATATCAGGGGCGGCGGATTGAGGACCGGCTGGATACGCGACACTTTTCGTGTGTTGCCAGAGGGTGCTGATGAGGCCACTGTTGAGAGACATGCTCAAGCGTACCTTTTTCTGCTCATCTCGGGTGTGTTGTTCGGTGGCAAGAGTGGCAGCCATTTACAGATCATTTACTTGCAGCTGTTAGACCACGACTGGGATCATATTCGTGGCTACAGCTGGGGCAGTGCTTGTCTGGCGATGTTGTATCGCCATCTGTGTAGAGCATCCCGTCGGGGTTCTCGTGAGATCAGCGGTCCGTTATTTTTGCTTCAGGTAACCTACCTATCTGTTAACAATTTAATTCGGAAAGTTCTTACTTAGTTTACAATTAACCTAGTTTTGTGTGTTTCATGTCCAGTATTGGTCTTGGGAGCACATCCATGTAGGCAGGCCAGGTAAGCCTGCTATACATCGTCAGGGGCAGCAGGATCAGGACATGCAGTATGAGAGGTACATTCCTCCACCACTGCCTTCCGCTGACGAGGCGTACGGTTGCAGATGGGCGGTCCCCAGACTGACATATGCGCATGCGGCAAGGGGCCTTCCGTACTACCGAGACACTCTTGACCGACTCACCGAGTATTAGGTGATAACTTTAATTTATTTAGTAAACAGTTATTTATTATGTATACTCTTAAAATATTTAATATGCACTAACCTGTTTACTATATTACTTTGTATGTGTTATCGCAGATGACATGGGACTCGTATGAAGCTGATTTAGTTGTTGTCATGCCTCCACATCTGCTAGATCATCAGGCACAGTGGCGTTCTAGGGTCCCCCTGATCTGTTCTGAGGTTGTGGAGGGTCACCTACCGGATCGAGTCATGCGACAGTTTGGACTACGCCAGCCTGTCCCCCAGCAGTGTGACACTAGTGCCCGGCTGCACCGCATTGACCGCCGGGGAAAGAGCAACAGGAACTGGCGGATGGAGCATGCCCAGTACATTGACTTGTGGCATCGACGGTTAGAGTTCGTCGTCACTGGTGACCCCATCCACGGCGTTATGGATCCATACGATCCATACATGGAGTGGTACATGCGGATTACACGACGTTTCATCAACCCCAGCTACACGCCGCCATCCGCACATTACCATCCATCCTTTGAAGTGACCAGGGGATATGTAAGTGTATTTGATTTACTTATTTTTATCAATTTTTAATTTGTATATCATTCAACTAACTCATCCATAATTACTGCAGGCGTTGGATATGACGGCGATGGTTGACGCACTGTCGGACGTCCTTCCAGGCATACCTGAGCCGCCCAGAGCACAGGTCGAGCGGGTGCGAGATATGGGTATGGCTACCTTGTAGAGATATGGTCACGCATATCTTGTCCACCCCCAGGACGATCATGGCGGCCACTCTAGTCACTCACAGTTCGAGGCTAGCCAGAGTAGCTGTGGGGGTGATCCTACGTCATTCACGGGCGCAGAGGAGTACGTCATTCGCAATTCCGCGCCCCTACGTCATCCTGATGACCCATCGTCCAGCCAGCTGACTCCGCCAGTACGCCCGAACCCATTTACCACGGTCCGTCACTACAGCCGTCGTCTCAGGCCGAGAGGCAACATACAGGATAGAGAGCCGTTACACCAAATTGATGAGTTAGAATAGGATAGAATTATCTGATTTATTTGCTGTAATGACCTTCTCTAGTTTGTTGTACATAACACTTACATTACATTATTATTTTAATAATTGGGTTTTGAATGAATTTATGTCTTGTTTGAATTTCAAATTCCTTATTTGTCCACGTTTGACTCATTTCTTTCAAAATAAATTGTTATGGCCTGGTTTGTAAGTCGTTGGGTGCTTTGAAGTGGCTACGGAAGATTGAAATCGCCGGTGGAGGGTGTTGGTCGATGGGCGGTGGTGTGGTGGTGGTGTCGAGAGGCGTTGGAGGACGGTGTGGATGGTGAAGTGGTGATGGTGGAAGCCGATGGGGATGGGAGGTGGTGGTTGATTGTGGTGGTGGAGGAGGAGGGTGGTGGTGGAGGAGGAAGGTAGTGGTGGTGGATGTGGAGGAGGAGGGTGGTGGATGTGGAGGAGGAGAGTGGTGGAGGTGGTGGATGTGGAGGAGGAGGGTGGTGGAGGTGGTGGATGTGGAGGAGGAGGGTGGTGGTGGTGGTGGATGTGGAGGAGAGGGTGGTGGAGGTGGTGGATGGGGTGGAGGAGAGGGTGGTGGAGGTGGTGGATGGGGAGGAGGAGGTGGTGGATGTGGAGGAGGAGGGTGGTGGTGGTGGTGGTGGTGGATGTGGAGGGGGAGGGTGGTGGAGGTGGTGGATGTGGAGGGGGAGGGTGGTGGAGGTGGTGGATGTGGAGGGGGAGGGTGGTGGAGGTGGTGGATGTGGAGGAGGAGGGTGGTGGTGGTGGTGGATGTGGAAGGTGGCTGTTGGGGCTGCTGTTGCTGGCTTCAGCCAGCATAATAAAACGCTGACTGAGGCAGCGTTTTATACTAAGGAATAAAACGATGCCTCAGTCAGCGTTTTTTTTTCCTGTTATGCCTATACAAAAAACGCTGACTCAGTCAGTGTTTTTGTGTATTTCCATTTTTTTTTTAAAATTTGTATTTCACAAAATACGAAATTTTTAAAAAAAATAAATAAATAATAACAGGGGTAAAATGCTGACCGAGTCAGCGTTTTACCTCAGAAGTTCAGTTTCGTAAATAGTTTGGCCACGCGTCTAGACTGGTAAATTGCTTGCCAATTAAGCTTACTTTCGTAAAAATCCGATTTTATAATTCTAATCATTCATCAAAACATTAAAGACTAGACACTCACAATTTTTTACGTAACATAACGGCAATGCATCGACAATCTTTATTTAATCTTCAACTATTGTACTCTCGCCATGATATGCATCATCATGTTCTCCATTCTACAAATCATTGAAATAATGTAACCAACAACTCAAATAAATACAAAAACCAATCATCAGTATGCCTTAACTACATACTTAAACCAAAAAAAAAACAAACACACACACAAAGCTTGCATAAGAGTACATAACCTGATCTGATAAGTGTGTTCAAACAGAAGATGGATCACCAGTGTGGTCATTAACTTGCACGTCCTATGTAGTAGATGCAGTTGAGAATTCGAGGACCACAAAATTCATTCCAGGATTAGCTTCCTGAAGTTGCTTGACCAATGTTGCCTAAATGCTTTGCAGAAACACTTCAGGAGAATTTTGTAGTCAGATTTTGTGCCTTTTTTCTTTAAATCAGTCTTGGTAACACCTTTTCCATAGAGGCGTGCATAGTGTTGGGACCTCTTTCCTGAGATGCTAAAGCCTCCATTTGTTCCTAGTCATGAAAAAAATACAAAGATTACATATAACTTAGCTATTCACGAAAAACTAAACAAGGACATAATAATAAGCTAAACTCACAATATGATCTTTTGTTTTTCCGAAGCTTGTTTTGTACGTCCTCTTAGGATTTCTTGACCTTGATTCCTTGTAGACCTTTGCTTGAGAGGGTTCTTGCTTATTTGGGTCCTCTTGTTGCTATAAATTATAATTGTTTCAATATAATCTCTCAATAAATTGTTGGTTGCTTACTTACCTAAAATGATAGAGATAACAATCTAAGAGGAAATATAGTTAATGAAGGAGGTGCATAAATAATTACCAATTTATGACGCATCACGACGTATGATTTTCGACACATACTATGGATGTCCTCAAGTTGTTAACGATTATAAAACCTAACTCAATTCATGTAATGCAAGAAAAAATATACAATTAAGTAGGAAAAACTTAAACATTTTGCACATTCTGGCAGTGTCTTTGGACGATGTACCCTTCTTTCTTCATCATTAGTATATGCATAAAAATATTTTTGCTTTGTTCTACATTTATGTTTACGCCAAGCATAGTTCACACTTTCCAGGGTCCACTTTTTTCCTTCTTCAGGGATCAAGTATTTCAACTCGGCCACAAAATTATATGCTTAAGTAGGCACGACATAGATAAAGGATTAACATATTTAATTAGCTAAGGGATAAAAAAAAAATAGTTAACTGATAGACAAACCTGAACATAGTCCCATATCTTATCATGTGTGGGCAAACTTGGCCAATTAACATAATTAAGAGGGGCTAACTCAGAATTTCTAGCCACAGTTCCCAAAAATAGAGAAAATTCAGTAACTATTTCATCCGTGGGTCCAACTGGCTGCCCAAACTTATTCAGAATAAGGTAAGGCGATCCTCTCTTCCACGGGCATGTACATTTAGAAAAGTATGGAAAAAATTAAATTAAAGCCTCTGTTTGCAGAAAAAGATATAGTAATCAAATCAATATAAAAGAAATTGACTTTATCACTTTGTTTCTCAAGCACAAGCTATCTCTTTTATTATAATATAATTACATTAAGTGTTCTTTAATCTCATGCACCAACACCTCCCATGGCCTCATCCCCATTCACTTTTAAATAGTTTATACAAGTCAACAAATATAAATAGCAACATAGAAGTGTATACAATAATAATTAATATATATAGAATGATGGAAAAATCATGTCCTATCTATCATTTGAATTATTCATTTTAAATAGAATTACAAGATTGAAAGACATATACATGATATGAGTAATTAAACATTTTTATAAATTAAACTTTTCTACTATTTTCTTATTGGCTCTTAAAGTTGATTGATTTGTTTCCTATTCTTAATATCTTACTAAGGTTCTGTCTTTAATTGAAAGTTGTGTTGAAAAGATTATTTTCCACCCATTCGATTGTTCTTCCTTGCAAACGCATCAAAAGAAAGCACAACATTCAGGTTCGTATTACTTTATTTCTATCTTTATATATGAATTCTGCGAATGAAACATTGATTGAAAATGTACCAGAACTTAGAAGTGGATCATAAATACCAGCTTACAAATGAAACATTGATTGAAAATGTACCAGAACTTAAAGATGAAGAAAATGGAGTATTGGATAGTAGGATTGAAGAGGGACATGAAAATGTTTCTATACCAATGATTGAAAGCCCAAAGGAAGGTATGATTCAATTTATTTCTTTTCACAAAGTTATTGATATCTATTAAGGTACATTAACTCTAGTACTTACTACTTTGTCGTATATAGCTCCTGTAACCAAGAAGCATCGAGGGCCGACAAAATTGATAAATCTCCTTGAGTATTTATAATTCCCTCAAATTCTAATCTAAAAATAAATAAAGAAAAGGAATAAGAAAATACAAATTACACAAGTTGTCAAACCATTGGACAATAGAAGATGATGTGGCACGAAGATGCTCGATGAAGACGGCCAACCGACCCAAGAACCAAGCCTTAACAAGCAGCCATGATGGTGCATGTATGTTGGCACGTTGGACTTCAATAAGGCATCGCTGCATATATGAGATATCGCTCGGTGCTTGCTTGAAGGAGTGCAGGGGCGAGCTATAGCTCGCTGGCGAGTGAGCTCCGGGCTTCTGTTGCTTTCGGCATATGCGAGCTAGCTCGCGAGTTCTCGCTCACTCGCTACTGGGCATAGCATCAACTTCACAGGCTTGTAACTTTTGATTCATAAGTTGTATATAGGTGTGTGACCTACCGTTAGAAAGCTCTTAAGTATAGTTTCCAATGCAACTTGAATCACTTCAATCCTATCTGGAACTCAAGTTATGATCAAAAGAGTGGACAAAGGTCAGTTTTGACATATCGTTCATCATCGTTTAACTTCATTTTCAACTCAAATTCAATTCGGAAAGGCACATAGTGACCCTTGTGAATTCTATGTTCATTATCCATGCACACAATAATCAAAATCAACATCCACGAACATGGAATCTTCGATTAATAAACTCAATTCATCGACTTCCATCCAAATATCATCTGAATCAACTCCAAACACTTCGAAAGCGTCCAAATGACTATAAAATCACCTAAAACATTAAGAAAAATACAAACGAAGTGTAATAGAGCACAAAACAGACAAATTATGCGTTTACGACCTATGAAGCGACAAAAAGTCCTAAAAAGCAACTATAAAACTAGCATAAATGTGGCTATAAATCGTGTATATATATATAAAGGAAGGCTCATATAAGAACCTTCCTCTATCTAAGAACTCACTTATATATAAAAACAAATAAGGGCCATTGATCAAATCAGATTCAACCGTCAACAATACACCTTAGTAATGGCATTTTCATAAATTTCGTAGCTGATATACATCTTTCTTCTTCCTCTTTCCGTATCATTTCTCTGTGTAATTTTCTCAAATTCCTCACATTCTCTCTCTAAAATTTCGACTCAGGGGCTTCACTTATATGAAGATCAAATCAGCGATATTCAATTACTCATCATTGTTGTAAGTTTTGCAATTTAATCACTTAATTCCTGCATTAGTCGAATTTTTTTTGTCATAATGTTGTTCAATTTTGCTCTTTTTTTTTCAATATTTTGTATCTTTTTTTGGCTTAATTTTTTTTATCATTTGTATACTTTTTCATGTTGGATTACGGTTTTGATTGTTCCAATTGGATGACATTTCAATACATTCTTTGTGTGTGTTATATTGTTTTGAGTTTTGTTTATTTTCCGAATTTTGTGTTTGCGATCGATTTTTCGATGATATTTTGCTGAATATTATGTGTTATATAAAGTAATTCAATCTAATGCTGTTTAATTTCGTAGAATTCTATTTGAATTTCCCTTTGAATCGATTATTGTAAAATCTAGGGTTTTTTTCCCTAAATTTATACGAAGTATTGAAGTAGTATAATTGTTCAAATTTAACTTGCTTGGTTATGTACTTATGTTTGATGAGGAGAAACAATTTAATTAGAACATAAGAATAAATATGGTAGATTTAGAAGAGATAATTAGAGGTTTAGAACATAAAATGAAGTACTTCCCTTGAGTGGAGATGGTGGGGAAGGATTATATGATACTAATGGCAATAAACAAAAATTTATCACACTAATCAACTTTTCCCCACTATCAAAAAGACCCATTGTTTTCCTCTTCGTTCAGAAAATTCCTCCGTTATATGAGTATATATAGTTTTGGATATTGGATAGGGTAGGCAATATGACATGTTCAAAAAAAGGTTGGAATTTCTAAGTAGTAAAAGTAATCACTAATTTGAGAAATGTTTACCTATGGACTTGTTTGACCTCCTCCAATCTTAATGAATTTGATTAGTTACTTCACTTGCTTATAATTTGGCCGAGCTCGAATGAGCATAAGATTAGTTTTGGTTGTTTGTAACCTAAGTTTGTCACACAACTAAAAAGAAAAGAAGAGAATACCTTCATATAAGCAGTTGTATATGTCAATTAATTTAGTTTTTATATTTTTATTTTTTTTATACATCCTACCTTTGCTAGAGGTGTTGTCTTCTCCACGGATGTGCGCACCTTAGTAATTTTATTGAGATGCATCGTTCTTTGGTTAGCAAGGACAGAACATTGGGGAAGTAAAAACAAGTATAAATATCTTGATATAGTCATCATGACATTATTTAACCTTAATTTACTCTTTAGTAATTTTTTTTTGTTTAAATGTTTTATATATACATTAACCTACTAGCTCAATAGGTAGAGCATTGTGCAAATGCACAAAGATGTGGGTTCAAATCCTACGTAGGTTTATTTGTGTAATGTGGAGGCGAGCATTGTACGATGAGAGTTCACTTGTAAAAAAGTTTCTATAGGTATTAATCATTTCAAGACAATTTTCTGCTCATATAACTTAGTGCTAATTTAATTTGTTTTATTGGATTTTTTTTTTTAAAAAACAAAAAAAAATGAAGTTTTTTTTAGTTATTTATAAAGATAACCTATGTAGGAATTAAACCTACATCCTCTATACATTTGCATAGTGCTCTTCCAATTGAGCTAATAGGTTTTATCATATGTTCTAAATATTATTTGCATATGTTCTAAAATTTATTGCTTAAGCTCTAAATTTTTCAATCTAAGCTCTAATTATATGTATGTTCTAAATTATTTTCCGATGTTCTACATTTTATATGGTTATGTTCTAAAATTTTCTGTCCATGTTCTAAATATATATCCAATGTTCAAAATTTTTGTCTATATTCTAAATTTATTTCCTATGTTCTAAACCTATGTTTTAAATTTTTTCCTTATGCTCTAAATTTTATCCTATGTTCTAAATTTTTTCTACCTATTTTCTAAATTTTTTCTATGCTCTAAACTTTATCCTATGTTTAAATTTTTTCACCCTATATTCTAAATAACTTTCCTGTGTTCTAAGTTTTTATAAATGTTCTAAACTTATTTTCTATGCTCTAATTTTTTTTTTCCCAATATTCTAAATTTTTTTTATCTATGTTCTAAGGGGCCGTTTGGTTCACTGTAATGGGGATCGGAAATGGGAATGATTACCTTTGTAAGTGTTTGTTTTGCATTTTTTGTCATTCTCATTCTCCATTTTTATTTTTGGGTTTACCCAAAATTGTTCTAAGCTCATTTCCCACCCCCCTACCTTTTCCATTCCCTTTCCCCAACCACTAAGTCCACCACCATACCCACATCAGCTAAATGCACCTCACCGAAATTCGTTGCACCTCGCCAGTTGCTCGCCGGGCCTCCCTCGACCCTCACCGCCCTTCGCCGCCCATCCTCCCACCGAAAATCCTCCGCCCACCCACGCATAACCCTTAAAAAACCCTCCCCTCCACCGAAACAACCGGCCACACCTCACGGACGTTCGTCGCCCCTCCTCCGACCTTCGTCGCCCCTCCCCTCACCCTGAAAATGTCTCCCCTCCCCAGAAAACCCCCCTTCACCCACACATAACCCTAAAAAATTCTCCCCCTCCCCTTAGAACAACCGGCCGCCCCTCCCCCCACCCTCAAAACCTTGCGAACGGGGGTTTCGAGGGTGGGGGAAGGGGCAACTGAGTGCTTTGACGATGGGGGAGGGGTAGCTGAGTGCTTCAACGAAGTGGTTTAGAGGTGGTCAGGGATGAGTGGTAGGGATGTGGAAGGGCGGCTAGGGGAGGCGGTGGGGTGGTTGGATGATTGGGGTCTTCAGGGCCGGAGAAAGAGGGAAAGAGAAGTGAAGAAGTGGTGGACCGGTGGTTGTGGGTAACACCCCGCTTCATGTGGCATTGATGAATGGAGGCAAAAGTATTCAAGTTGCTGCTTACTTGACTGAGGTTGGTCCTGAAGTGGCTGCCTACACTAACAATCTCAAACAAACTCCACTTCATCTCGCCGTTATGTATGACGCTAAAGGTGCGTACTTCCGATTTTAAAAAATTGAGAGGATGATAAGCAATTATGTGGTAGAAGATATAGACCGGAATACATTTCTCTTAATTAATTATGAATTTTATTTCTAATTTAGTGTTTAGTTTTTATTTTTAATCAGAAAACATATATGTTACAGGTACTGAAATGTCAGCGATACATATGATAAACTCGCTTAATAACCAAGGGGCAGCATTGTCTACCAAAAGTTTTAGTTTCGTACAAGAAAAGGAAGACATCTCACTATCCTTGGTAAAGTCGTTATTACAGACAAATAGTGAGGTATGTTGTTTATGTGATGCAGATGGGATGACCCCTCTACTTAAAGCTGCAGTTCGCTCTAATTTACTTGTTGTTAATGCCATAATCAATTGAGGTATGTGATCCAAAGGGCAAAAATGTGTTACATTACATAAGATTTCCGACTTTCTTAGATGCAAGGAGATTTTTGGAAAAGCCAGAAATTCCTGTGTTGCTCGTCAATAAGCAGGATCATGACGGGAACACACCAATGCATATAGCTATGATGAACCATGATTTCAGAATGGTGAAAGCTATGGTTGAACATAATGCTAATTTTTCCATAGAAAATAAGGAGGGTGTTTCTGCACAAACTCTTTTTGATCACTTTGTCATCAACAACAATCTGGATGTTTCAGCCGAAGCTCAAATTGAGTCAAAACTGAACAAGTTCCGTGACCTAGTGGTATGCAAAAATTTATATTTCTTACAGTTTTTTTTTACTCTATTTACGAACACCAATTTGATGAGATTTTGTGATTTAATATAAACATAGTCATTTGGGACGTTGTATAATTAAATTATCTTAATATATAATTTCTTGATATCAACTTTTTGATAATTAGAGATATTAATTATAAAAACATATCAACTTTTTTGAGGGAAATTAAAACATATCTACTTTATTATAATATAATTACATTAAGTGTTCTTTAATCTCATGCACCAACACCTCCCATGGCCTCATCCCCATTCACTTTTAAATAGTTTATACAAGTCAACAAATATAAATAGCAACATAGAAGTGTATACAATAATAATTAATATATATAGAATGATGGAAAAATCATGTCCTATCTATCATTTGAATTATTCATTTTAAATAGAATTACAAGATTGAAAGACATATACATGATATGAGTAATTAAACATTTTTATAAATTAAACTTTTCTACTATTTTCTTATTGGCTCTTAAAGTTGATTGATTTGTTTCCTATTCTTAATATCTTACTAAGGTTCTGTCTTTAATTGAAAGTTGTGTTGAAAAGATTATTTTCCACCCATTCGATTGTTCTTCCTTGCAAACGCATCAAAAGAAAGCACAACATTCAGGTTCGTATTACTTTATTTCTATCTTTATATATGAATTCTGCGAATGAAACATTGATTGAAAATGTACCAGAACTTAGAAGTGGATCATAAATACCAGCTTACAAATGAAACATTGATTGAAAATGTACCAGAACTTAAAGATGAAGAAAATGGAGTATTGGATAGTAGGATTGAAGAGGGACATGAAAATGTTTCTATACCAATGATTGAAAGCCCAAAGGAAGGTATGATTCAATTTATTTCTTTTCACAAAGTTATTGATATCTATTAAGGTACATTAACTCTAGTACTTACTACTTTGTCGTATATAGCTCCTGTAACCAAGAAGCATCGAGGGCCGACAAAATTGATAAATCTCCTTGAGTATTTATAATTCCCTCAAATTCTAATCTAAAAATAAATAAAGAAAAGGAATAAGAAAATACAAATTACACAAGTTGTCAAACCATTGGACAATAGAAGATGATGTGGCACGAAGATGCTCGATGAAGACGGCCAACCGACCCAAGAACCAAGCCTTAACAAGCAGCCATGATGGTGCATGTATGTTGGCACGTTGGACTTCAATAAGGCATCGCTGCATATATGAGATATCGCTCGGTGCTTGCTTGAAGGAGTGCAGGGGCGAGCTATAGCTCGCTGGCGAGTGAGCTCCGGGCTTCTGTTGCTTTCGGCATATGCGAGCTAGCTCGCGAGTTCTCGCTCACTCGCTACTGGGCATAGCATCAACTTCACAGGCTTGTAACTTTTGATTCATAAGTTGTATATAGGTGTGTGACCTACCGTTAGAAAGCTCTTAAGTATAGTTTCCAATGCAACTTGAATCACTTCAATCCTATCTGGAACTCAAGTTATGATCAAAAGAGTGGACAAAGGTCAGTTTTGACATATCGTTCATCATCGTTTAACTTCATTTTCAACTCAAATTCAATTCGGAAAGGCACATAGTGACCCTTGTGAATTCTATGTTCATTATCCATGCACACAATAATCAAAATCAACATCCACGAACATGGAATCTTCGATTAATAAACTCAATTCATCGACTTCCATCCAAATATCATCTGAATCAACTCCAAACACTTCGAAAGCGTCCAAATGACTATAAAATCACCTAAAACATTAAGAAAAATACAAACGAAGTGTAATAGAGCACAAAACAGACAAATTATGCGTTTACGACCTATGAAGCGACAAAAAGTCCTAAAAAGCAACTATAAAACTAGCATAAATGTGGCTATAAATCGTGTATATATATATAAAGGAAGGCTCATATAAGAACCTTCCTCTATCTAAGAACTCACTTATATATAAAAACAAATAAGGGCCATTGATCAAATCAGATTCAACCGTCAACAATACACCTTAGTAATGGCATTTTCATAAATTTCGTAGCTGATATACATCTTTCTTCTTCCTCTTTCCGTATCATTTCTCTGTGTAATTTTCTCAAATTCCTCACATTCTCTCTCTAAAATTTCGACTCAGGGGCTTCACTTATATGAAGATCAAATCAGCGATATTCAATTACTCATCATTGTTGTAAGTTTTGCAATTTAATCACTTAATTCCTGCATTAGTCGAATTTTTTTTGTCATAATGTTGTTCAATTTTGCTCTTTTTTTTTCAATATTTTGTATCTTTTTTTGGCTTAATTTTTTTTATCATTTGTATACTTTTTCATGTTGGATTACGGTTTTGATTGTTCCAATTGGATGACATTTCAATACATTCTTTGTGTGTGTTATATTGTTTTGAGTTTTGTTTATTTTCCGAATTTTGTGTTTGCGATCGATTTTTCGATGATATTTTGCTGAATATTATGTGTTATATAAAGTAATTCAATCTAATGCTGTTTAATTTCGTAGAATTCTATTTGAATTTCCCTTTGAATCGATTATTGTAAAATCTAGGGTTTTTTTCCCTAAATTTATACGAAGTATTGAAGTAGTATAATTGTTCAAATTTAACTTGCTTGGTTATGTACTTATGTTTGATGAGGAGAAACAATTTAATTAGAACATAAGAATAAATATGGTAGATTTAGAAGAGATAATTAGAGGTTTAGAACATAAAATGAAGTACTTCCCTTGAGTGGAGATGGTGGGGAAGGATTATATGATACTAATGGCAATAAACAAAAATTTATCACACTAATCAACTTTTCCCCACTATCAAAAAGACCCATTGTTTTCCTCTTCGTTCAGAAAATTCCTCCGTTATATGAGTATATATAGTTTTGGATATTGGATAGGGTAGGCAATATGACATGTTCAAAAAAAGGTTGGAATTTCTAAGTAGTAAAAGTAATCACTAATTTGAGAAATGTTTACCTATGGACTTGTTTGACCTCCTCCAATCTTAATGAATTTGATTAGTTACTTCACTTGCTTATAATTTGGCCGAGCTCGAATGAGCATAAGATTAGTTTTGGTTGTTTGTAACCTAAGTTTGTCACACAACTAAAAAGAAAAGAAGAGAATACCTTCATATAAGCAGTTGTATATGTCAATTAATTTAGTTTTTATATTTTTATTTTTTTTATACATCCTACCTTTGCTAGAGGTGTTGTCTTCTCCACGGATGTGCGCACCTTAGTAATTTTATTGAGATGCATCGTTCTTTGGTTAGCAAGGACAGAACATTGGGGAAGTAAAAACAAGTATAAATATCTTGATATAGTCATCATGACATTATTTAACCTTAATTTACTCTTTAGTAATTTTTTTTTGTTTAAATGTTTTATATATACATTAACCTACTAGCTCAATAGGTAGAGCATTGTGCAAATGCACAAAGATGTGGGTTCAAATCCTACGTAGGTTTATTTGTGTAATGTGGAGGCGAGCATTGTACGATGAGAGTTCACTTGTAAAAAAGTTTCTATAGGTATTAATCATTTCAAGACAATTTTCTGCTCATATAACTTAGTGCTAATTTAATTTGTTTTATTGGATTTTTTTTTTTAAAAAACAAAAAAAAATGAAGTTTTTTTTAGTTATTTATAAAGATAACCTATGTAGGAATTAAACCTACATCCTCTATACATTTGCATAGTGCTCTTCCAATTGAGCTAATAGGTTTTATCATATGTTCTAAATATTATTTGCATATGTTCTAAAATTTATTGCTTAAGCTCTAAATTTTTCAATCTAAGCTCTAATTATATGTATGTTCTAAATTATTTTCCGATGTTCTACATTTTATATGGTTATGTTCTAAAATTTTCTGTCCATGTTCTAAATATATATCCAATGTTCAAAATTTTTGTCTATATTCTAAATTTATTTCCTATGTTCTAAACCTATGTTTTAAATTTTTTCCTTATGCTCTAAATTTTATCCTATGTTCTAAATTTTTTCTACCTATTTTCTAAATTTTTTCTATGCTCTAAACTTTATCCTATGTTTAAATTTTTTCACCCTATATTCTAAATAACTTTCCTGTGTTCTAAGTTTTTATAAATGTTCTAAACTTATTTTCTATGCTCTAATTTTTTTTTTCCCAATATTCTAAATTTTTTTTATCTATGTTCTAAGGGGCCGTTTGGTTCACTGTAATGGGGATCGGAAATGGGAATGATTACCTTTGTAAGTGTTTGTTTTGCATTTTTTGTCATTCTCATTCTCCATTTTTATTTTTGGGTTTACCCAAAATTGTTCTAAGCTCATTTCCCACCCCCCTACCTTTTCCATTCCCTTTCCCCAACCACTAAGTCCACCACCATACCCACATCAGCTAAATGCACCTCACCGAAATTCGTTGCACCTCGCCAGTTGCTCGCCGGGCCTCCCTCGACCCTCACCGCCCTTCGCCGCCCATCCTCCCACCGAAAATCCTCCGCCCACCCACGCATAACCCTTAAAAAACCCTCCCCTCCACCGAAACAACCGGCCACACCTCACGGACGTTCGTCGCCCCTCCTCCGACCTTCGTCGCCCCTCCCCTCACCCTGAAAATGTCTCCCCTCCCCAGAAAACCCCCCTTCACCCACACATAACCCTAAAAAATTCTCCCCCTCCCCTTAGAACAACCGGCCGCCCCTCCCCCCACCCTCAAAACCTTGCGAACGGGGGTTTCGAGGGTGGGGGAAGGGGCAACTGAGTGCTTTGACGATGGGGGAGGGGTAGCTGAGTGCTTCAACGAAGTGGTTTAGAGGTGGTCAGGGATGAGTGGTAGGGATGTGGAAGGGCGGCTAGGGGAGGCGGTGGGGTGGTTGGATGATTGGGGTCTTCAGGGCCGGAGAAAGAGGGAAAGAGAAGTGAAGAAGTGGTGGACCGGTGGTTGTGTGGTGTAGTATTTTTTTTTTTTTTTTTTTTGTAAGTTGTTCCCTTAAGTTATGTAAAACAAACAACTTTGTAAAACAGAGGGAGTTGCTTTCAATTCCTCTCCTTTCCCTTTCTTGAAGTCATTCCCTTTCCCTTAGGTGAACCAAACGACCCTAAATTACTTTTCTAGTCTATATTCTACATTTTTTTTCCTATGTTCTAAAAACCTGTGTTCTAATTTTTTTTTTCTTCTAATGTTCTAGATAGTTTTCCTACGTTCTAAACTTTTTCACCCTATGTTCTAAATTTTTCTATATATGCTCTAAATTTTTTTCATATGTTCCAATTTTTTTCCTATGATCTAATTTTTTTTCCCAATGTTCTAATTTCCTATGTTCTAAATTTTTACTATGTTGCAAATCATTTTCTTATGTTCCAAATTTTCCTATGTTCTAAAGTTGTTTGTATATTCTACACCTATGTTCCAAATTTTAATCTGTTTATGTTCTAATTTTTTTTCCCTATATTCTAAGCTTATGTCTACTTTTTTTTTAATTTCCTGCTTATGTTTAAATTTTTTTCCTATGTTCTAAATCTTATCTTTCTTATTGCTAGTACATTTTATAAATTGTCATTGACACAATCATAACCTTTGTTTAGAACTAAGTTGCTGTAATACTTTCCTCCAAAATATACTCATTTAGCTTCTTATTCAAGAATGCTTGCAAAAGTGATGCTTTAAGCTTCAAGTACAAGACATTTAAGTAGCAACCAGACAAATAGCTATCAAAAAGAACCAAAAATTTTAGAAAATGGTTAAACTAGAGTTAGGCCATACTTAACTGACTTGAATCAACAAAAACAACAGGAAGCAAAAGTGCAATAAATGAAAACTTAAACTCACTTCAGCATGCAACACACACAACCTTACACAATAGGCAACCCAAACAGCCCCAACACCCACCAAATTCACACCACCATAGCAGCCGCAAAACAACAGCAGTACCCACACAACGACACTAACAACAACAAAAAAATCGTACATAAATCACCCAAAAAACCGCACATTAATCGCCCAAAAAAACCGCACATAAATCGCACAACAGCACTTCAACGCTAACCACTAACCATAAATCAAACTATATAAGAATCCAATAGAACCATTCTTCTTAAACCATGCTCTTACTATCACATTCCAAATTTCAACATAAAAAGGGAAGAGGGTTGCATCTATTCTGCCAATAAAACAGGAAAATACTACAATAACATTAAGAGCTTGCAGCTTTGTCTTCAAACTCTTCATCTGCTTGCTCCAAAACCCACTATCCCTCCCTAGTCTACTTCACCTCAATCTATAAAACAACAAATTATAATACAAGTTTAAAGCCCAAATTCCAATAATAACAGACAAATCCTATTATAAGGCATTTGGCTGCACCTTTCCTCTCATGCATGTGAGGGAAGAGTCTACAGCATGCCAACACTACAAATTCCAGACACCATGAAAACCCGAATGGTCTTACTAAGCTAAGTAGTCAATAATTAATCACCTCCTTCATCTATATAGTACATGGGGTTGCCTTCAAAAACTTAAGTGGGCTAAGTCTTCATGACGCTAAAAATCAATAATCACAGCCCAAAAATCCACCTATTTATCAAGGATATACCTAAAGCACTTCCTATAAGTCGAAAATTCGAGAATTCTTGAGTTCCATTCAACATATCTACATATCCTCGGTTCACAAAGGGGCATAATTTACCAGCTCATGAGAAAATCAACTAAAATTGAAAAACCTAACCAACTAAGAACTGAATTGCAACATCAATAGAACATAATTTACAAGTCAAACTCAATGAAAACGCAAAACCTAACCTAAAACAATCTGACATGCAATAACAGTACTTCAAAACCACCATATATACTCACATGAGCAAAATAAAATCCAAAAAAATTCTACCAGCTTATAATTCTCTGCAATTTTGCTAAATAATGAACAAATCGAAAATAAAAAACGAAGAAATCTAAAAAATATTATCCTCTTAAAATCGAATAGAAAATCGCCAAAAATCACAAAAATATTGACAAAATCAGTGAAATCTAGGGTTTACATTTGCGAAAAATCAACTGAAATCGAACAATGTATATAAGGAAACAATGATTTCTACCGAAATTGAAAGAATATGTACCTGAAATTGAAAATTGCGAAATCTAGGGTTTATTGCAAAAATTTGTACTTTTCTTGAAAAATTTGACTTGTTTACGATCCTTGTTGAATTTATGCAAAAAAATGAAGGAAAAAAGTTAAAAATCCTTCAAATTGCAGCTTCTATGGAGATTTTTGGGAGTTTGTGGAGAGAGAAAGTTAAAGTTGCGTTTTTTTTTTTTTTTTTTTCTTGAGGAAAGATAGTTTTTGTTTTGTTTTAATCTGACCGCTCATCCCAATTTAATCCAACCGTTGAGATTTGTTCTTATATAAGATCGGATTTTTATACAGAGGATGGTTCTTACACTAGTAGAAAAAGTTAAATGAGCATCGCACAATGCGTACTGATTTTTAAAAATCGGTGCGAAAAAAATAGGCGGGATTGCGATTTCTATTGTCATCTCTTCCTCCCCCTCTCCGATAATTTGTTCAAGTTTGTGTTTTTGATTAATTTATGTTTTGTGATTTCATGAATTGGGTTGATTTGTTTTTGATTGATCGATGTCGAATACTGGAATTCGGGTTTCTGTTGTTGATGGGTCGATGCTGGATTTGTGGCAATTTCATCGATTTACTGCTACCTACGGTTCTAAAATCGCACAACCTATCTCTCTAATCGAAATGTTTGGGGTAGTCTAACCACTATTTCGAACAACAGGTATTTGATTAGTTTTAACTGATGTCTGATTTATTGTATGCGAATTAGTAAATTGTTAGGGTTCTTCAATTTATTATGGGTTTTAAATTTAATAAATTTCTCCTCTATAATATGTTACTTTCTATCTCTTCCTCTGTAATCTGCTACTTTCAATTCTTTCCTGATAATTAGGAACTCAGAGGAGATCCCACGGGGCCAGACCACAGCCGACTACGTTGTTGAGTCCGCCGGTGTCTTCACCGACAAGGATAAGGCTGTTGCTCACTTGAAGGTGTGTATATTATACCTCCTTTTTTTGGAGTTTGTATTTTAATTAGATTGTTTTATGTCTTATTACAAATGTTTCTATACTTTGTGGGTAGAACTTGCTTTAGCAACTGATTGAATGGTTTTGTTTAGAAAATTGTGTCAAGTTGTTTGTTTGACTTGCACCTATGGGTTACTAGACTTGTGGGCATACTTGATTTTTGTGTGAAACTTGCTGCGTTCTTCCTGATACTTGCTGATTTGCTTAGTCGACCTTGTAATATTGCAATTGTTGTATTAAAAATTAATGGAATGTGGCCCTGTTGTAAGTTGTTATTTGTGAACCAGTCAAAAATGGTTGTAATTACGAAAATTTTGCTTGTCGATTTGTTGTATTGGTACTTGAAAATTGTTTTTTTCTATGATCCAGATGCCTTTTTCCTGTGTTTTGTAGTCGATAGAGTGTTTTAATTCTTTTGTAATCCTATAATGTCACCTTGGACTATTATATTTTGTCATTAATTTTAATGTATGCCTTTTACATTTGTGTATTTTTCCTGAGATAGCAATCAATAAAGTGTGATCATAAAAAGTCTGTTGGTTGTTTCTTTTTTACAAAAATGCTTCATTGATTCATACTTTCATTTTTATTACTCTAGTTATTTAAACTACTTCGAATCATTGTGATCAAACCGTTGTTAATTATTTCTGCTGCCTACAAGTGATTTCCTATTTGATTATAGGGTGGAGCCAAGAAGGTTTTTATCTCTGCTCCTAGCAAGGATGCTCCCATGTTTGTTGTTGGTGTTAATGAGCATGAATACAAGTCAGAGCTCAACACTGTTTCCAACGCCAGTTGTACCACTAACTATCTTGTTCCCTTGACTAAGGTTTGCCCTTGTCTTATTTTGGTGCATCACTCCAATCATAGGATTCAAGATTGTATTATGTAGAGGTCTTACACCCTATCTTGTTATATGGTTCAGGTGATCAACGACAAGTTCGGCATTGTTGAGGGTCTTATGACAACTATTCACTCCATCACTGGTGAGTCTTGTGATGAGTAATGGTTTCATTTGAATATTTTGCATATTTTTTCTTAACCTAATTGATATTTCATTTTTGTATTTGTTGTTCAGCCACCCAAAAGACCATTGACGGTCCATCAGCTGAGGACTAGAGAGGTGGAAGGGATGCTTCCTTCAACATCATTCCCAGCAGCACCAGAGCAGCTAAGGTATTTTTTGTCCAAACAATTTGCACTGAATCTATTATACAATATATTATTGTAGAGGGTATTGTTTCTTTGAATGTTGCTACTTTCTATCTCTTCCACTATGCCTTTCTCCAAAATTTGTTTATTTATTGTCTTGCTTGTTTTTGGGGTTTTTCTTGGTGTTCTTTACTTGTGTGAGAGTATGAATCTTGCTTGTTTATTTCAAGCTTCATTTTGTTCGTACACTAGTTGGCGTTTAGTATTTATCCTATAAGTTGTAATTGGATATTTTCTTTTTTAACTTGCTACTCAATAAGATTAAATTTTAATTTTCTGCAGGAAGGAATCTTATGGTTTCAAAATTTGACTGAAGCACCAAATGGTCCTTTTGGGCCTATCTTACCTCTAATTATAGCTGGTTTGCATTTTTGTAATATCTAGGTACCAGAAATTTTCTTCCTTCATTCTCAGTTTCTCACTAGTTAAAAATGGTGACTCTTGACTTTTAACAAACATATTTAAGTTATTAACATCCTCATTAGAATTTACATCTGAAAATATGTATGGTTGTGTCCCCATTACTTCAACTGCACAATTCATGACTCCCCACCATTGATATTGATCTCCAGAAGAGAATAAAATTATGAAATATTTATCGAAAATACATTTGAAATTACATTACTCTCCAGAAGAAAAAAAAGTTTGTTGATTATGATTCTCTTAAAGGATGAAATTTGTTGCACATAAAATTACATTTAAGTTGGTTAAGAATTTAACGCCCCTATATTTGAGATATTTTACCAACTTAGGGGGAGAAGATTAAAAGTTGGCAAAATTTTGAATTATTATTTGATCCTCATAATTGTTAATTAATCTAAGAGATTTATATGCCATCTTTTATCTATATATATTATCAAGACATGTTGTGCATAATTCTATGATTTGATTTGTATTCAGTTATGACCCCATTCAGAGACATAGAAGATACATTTTGGTCATAGTGAAATTATGTGCATACATTGAGATAAATCTTGCCAATATTTATTACTTGAATTTCTACGTACACCTAAAGTGTAGATCATATGATCGGTTGCAATATAAAGATATATTACATGGCAAGATAGTGCAGTTGATATACCTTATAAGTAAAAGATTGAGATATCTGAATTATATAAGATGGCCAAAAATATGAGCAAAGTATGATGGCGGAAGATGCATTCAGATATCATTGTTGATATAGCATTTAAATGTTACATGAAAGAATTTTATGATATCGGTATACAATGGAACCGATAAATATGCATATGCATTAAGTAATGGACTTGTGAAGAGGGGATCTATACTATATGTCCATTTTGATGTCAACCTAATTGTGATTATGAAAACTTAAAGAGCTCATGGACCTAAAGTCCAACAAAATATGGATCCTAAAATCCACATTGTACGATGTTTTGCATTTTTTGAGTCTTATATTCATGTCCATGTATAGGAAGTAGATATGCATCATTCGTCATATACATATATCATCCATATTCTATCATTGTATGATATTGCTTTATTCACATATCTTTCTTTTCATATTGCATTTTAAATTATTATCATTGCTTCCAAATCATGGCTTTGATATATAAATGAATATGCCTGTTATGCCAAGCATTGTAAGAATAATTTGCATGTTTTATGAAAACTTATAAGAGGAGATTCAATTTCCAATTGAATAAAAGTTTTAGAAACATATAATGTTGTAATAGCATGTTATGAATCATGAATGAAATTAAGGAGAGCTAAGAACTTAGACATTGTTTATTTATATGTTTATCTTTAAAAAATTTACTTTTGAATATTGCAACATTGATGAGATATTATCCAATATTCTAAAAAATTATTTTGGACTTAATTGATGACATCTCAACCCGGAGTTTGAGCATGTGAGAGTTGTAGTGTTTTATTATTTGTATTATTAAGTGAACTCTCAAATAAAATATAAAATGTATAAGGAATTGCAATTATGAAATACTTATTCGTGTGAATAATTTTGTTCTGGTCTAGAAGAACCAGAAGCCTTGCATTGAAATGATTCATGTTACCGACAATTCTTATTTGACAATAATGGTATCTATATGTGTTTGCAAGTGTTTGATAAAATATTGATAAATTTCAGTTATATATTATGACCTATAGAAGAAGGTACAAGCAAATCAAATATATATGGATATATAAGAACCATAATCTTTATACGAGGAAATTAAAAGTGGTTTTCTAAAACGAGGTTACTATAAAGATATATGTATTTGGAATATTGCCAAAATATTGGTACATCAGAAAGAGATCTATACATCATTACATTCTATGTGTATTATCCTCATAACTCAGATGACAAGAAGATAATTTAACAATTCAAGTGAAGTTTTGAAGACTCAAGTTAAATTTTGAAAAATCAATTATCAATGAAGATTTTGCTGCTACATAGGAGAAGTTGCTTGTGTCAGTATTGGACCCATTGCATTGAAGTTCTAAAGTGATGTAAAAATCAGGGAGAAAAATTACGCGCTACATTCTTTTTCCCTTAACCATGGTCTTGTCCCATTGTGTTTTCCTGGTAAGGTTTTTAACGAGGTAGCATCTCAAACGTATTATGAAGAATGATGTACTCTTTTTCCTTCACTACGTTTTTATCCCACAAGGTTTTTCCTAATAAGGTTTTAACGAGACACAATCTTCAATAATGGACATCCCATGGAGAGTGTTATGAAATAGAGTTATGTATGTCCATTATATCTTTGTAACTCCCTAGCTTTATTACTTCCTTTGTAACCCCCCTTATGCCTTTACTTCCTTTGTAACCCCCCTTATGCCTTTACTTCCTTTGTAACCCCCTTATGTTTTTACTACCTTAATCCTTCACATAATGACGTCTTTATGGCCTAATGAAGAATGGACATAGACAATAAAAATAACTTTATAGATTTTTTTTTACTCTTCCTCCAATTTCATGTATTTTATAACAAAATGAATAAATGTTACCTACACCCAAAAATGGACCGCCTTATATTTGAGTTTTCGGTTCAATTTTGTGACAGCAGCAACCGCAACCACCAAGGAAGAGAAGAAGAGAGAGAAAGATGAGCGAAATGAACGGCAGAGGAATACTAAAGAAACCCAAGAGAGAGATTGATTCAGATGCTGAAGATGATAACAGAAATTTAACCATTAATAACTATAGTATTACCAAAGATAATAATGAAGTTGTTAATGATGATGATGTTGATGACGATGATGATGGAAGTGCTAGTACTAGCAGATATGATGAACAAGAAGAAGCCCTTGTTGCTCTTATTGAACATCGTACCAAAGAAGTTGAACATCTTAATACTCGCATCGCTTATTACCGAACTCAGGTTTCTTCAATTTCCATTTTTTGTTTAATTGTTTTAATTTACTGCATTGTTTTGTATGAGAATTTATTGGGTTTTAGGATTTGTAATTCTTGTATTATATTTGATGTTTGGGATGGGGTTCATGAATTTTATGATGATTTGGGTTGTTGAATTTTGGGTTTTTTTTGTTCTTTATTAAAATGGGTATGCTATGTATGAATTAGGGTTGATTTAAATGAGTATGATTGTGTTTAAGTTTGTAAGAGGGAGGAATTTGGAAATATTTTGTCTGAAATTTATAATTGGAAAAGAGAACAGTTTTCATTTTACAATGCTAAATGTTGTTGTTCTTTTGCTTTTGTTCTTATGAAAGTTGTATCTTGTAAAAAGTTTCTTGGGCAGGGACCAATCGGCGACGAAAAGAAAGGAGGGGAGAAAAAGGAAGTGAAAAGATAGGGAAGAAATTATTGTTCTTGTTGTTAAACGTACTTAGGTTTAGTGATTAGGAAGAAGGGGAATTTACTTTCTATTTTTAAGGGTTTGGATAGTTCAATAGTTAGGAAATGAATTGAACTCTTGTTAGCTTTCTTAATTTTTTTGAATTCCGGTTAATTTTGTGCAGAAATGAAATGAGACCATAAAAAAGGAGCTTTGATATCAAATTATTTTCCCTTTTTACTTGCTCTTTTCTTTCTCCCAATTCTTTATAATCAGAAAAGAACTGTTAGAACTACAAACTTTATTTTCACGTCTTTAAAATAAAGAAATACTCCATACTAACAATTATCATATTGGGAAATGATATAGAATATAGAGTTTAAGCTTGAAACAAAAAGGGAATTTTGTAGATGAGGAATATGGAACCTAAAGTAGATAGGCAATAGATTTTATTGCATATATCAGCAAAGGTGCTGAATGAGGCCTATGGATGTTGAAGATGAAAAGTTGTCAAGAGTTCTTGAAGGGAATTTTTTTATCTGTGCTTTATCTAGACTAGAGTGAGAAGCTTGGAACTAGAAGCATTTCAATGACTTATTATTTTTTTCCTGATAGAATTTATTTGGGTGGCCAATTACACGTTTTAGAAGCTATAACTTCTGACAAAATATACTGAAAATTTACCTTTGTTCTCTTTTTATCGGGTTGGGGTATATTTTGCTGATGATAACTTAGGATTTCGTTCAAAAAATCTCGAAGGAACCACTGCCTAATTTTTTTATAAAAATTCTGCAGCTTAAACAAGCACAACAGAGATTAGATGATTCACAAAATAAGTTGGTTCATGTTCGGCGCAAAATAAGTGACATTAAGTGGAATATTCCGCTTGGTCTTAAAAAGGAGCATAGATCTAATCCAGTGAATGGAGGTTCCTCCCAGCGTCAGTTGCAATCCAAACCACAACTTTTGATTCCAGGTGCTAACCAAAAATCTTCCCGGCCAATGACTGTGGCTGAAACTGGTCCAAAAGCTTCACCCAGTCGTCATGATAGTCCTGTGAAGGCAAGAGGAGATAGATCTCATGGTCCAAAAGCATCACCCAGTCGCCATGATAGTCCTGTGAAGGCAAGAGGAGATAAATCTCATGGTCCAAAAGCTTCACCCAGTCGTCATGATAGTCCTGTGAAGGCAAGAGGAGATAGATCTCATGGAACTCCTAGATCAGAAGATGCAAAGTCCCAGGTTGTAGGGGCAAAGAGGAAGCTTGGTAAGATATACCTGCCTACATCATGGAATTATTGGTTATAGTAATAGTTTTTAGCTTCTCGGGTTCCCATGCTGATTGGAATATGCTTTTTCCTCACACAATGGTGTTTACAGAATGCAAAGAACATATTGAATTAACATCCAAAGTACGCAGCTCTTCTTCGCCAACTATGATTCAGAGCTATGCAAGTACTCATATCTCAAGTCAGCATAAAAGGAAGCTCAGAAGTCTGACTATATGTCCTGTGATTGATAAGCTCTTCATTACCAGGTAGCGATCTAACTTGGTTTGCTTTTATGGTTCTCGAATTGCCTTTTTTACTTTTTTCGAAATTTTTAAATATATTCTGGGCGTCAGTTTTATTCTGTTGTGACAATTGAATCTCTAGTTTGCAAGTTCATGTGCTTAAGAGATTTGGAAATTGTAACAATTATTAGTGATACTGGCACTTGAAGATTTTTCATTGATCCTACCATAGTTTATTACTTCACAATACCGTGTTTGTAAGGGTCGCTTGAAGTTTTTTCATTAATCCTACGATAGTTTATCCCTTCACAAGTACCTTATTTGTAAGGTTTATCGTTAAGAAAGAGTAGAACATTTTAGTCAAAACTATGAAGTTCACATCTCATCCTTCTGATTAAATGATAGTACAAAATAAGCCTGTGTGAACAGGTATCTATCATTCTATCCATTTAGAAAAGCTGTCATGGCTGTTAACACTCCTGTTCAGAAGGACTGAGATAGATTGACTCACATTTGTGATTGATTCTGTATTTATTTTTGGTGTATCAGCATTAGATATTAGCCCATCAGCATTGGCAATAAGTTTGTGTCAATGTGCTAACTACTAATGGTGGCTCTAAACATGTTGTTTCCTATGATGGAAGTAATATTATCTGCATTTTCTTAAATGATTTTTTACCAAGTCACAAGCTGCTAAAGATTTCATTTTGTGTTGTTGATATGATCCAGTGCACTTGATGGAATGGTGAATTTATGGCAGATCCAGGCTAAAGGGTATGACTCTCTTATCTGATATTAAGATTGTTCCATGTATTGTAGTTATTGTTGATTTCTGACTGGGATCTTGAGTGAAATAATCTGTTCTCACGAGAGCAATTCAGATGGGGAATATTCAATGAAAAAAAAAGCATCAGAAGTTCTGTACATTGGTGCATATATAGAAATATGTTCAATTTTTAAATGCTTTTTTCCCCATCCTGCCTCCTAGTCAAGTTGTGATTCTTATCCTTAATGTGACTTGTGTCAAGTTCTTTCAATATTGTTAATGTTGTAAAGGTAGCTCTGATGTGTCTTCAGGAGTGGATGGGAGGATGAAATGTGCTTGATGAAACATAAAACTTGTCCTTTCTTTCCTTTCCATACCTTTCCTTTTTCCTTTCCTTTTACTTTTATTAACAAAATAATTAGTTTTAGGAAACCATTGTACATGTGAATGCAAGGGGCATCTCTCTATCTCTTATCTTTGAATCACAAATGTGTGTAATTATTTATTATGGAGTTCGATGAGGCATAAGTGAGCTTATACAGTTGCTCACTTGCTCTAGTGAAGTAGGACTTCTCCATGGAAGCTAACTTGGTGTTAAAGTGTTGATATCTTGATCAGTTTTTTTTTTTTTTTTTTAAAAAAAAAAAAAAACATTCAAAGTTTGTATAGTTGCTAGGGTGAAACATGTTATGTGGAAGGATAACCATCTTTTTTATCTAGATTTTAAGAGTTTGGCTAACTTGTAATGTTTATTTGCGTTTTTATGCCTAAGAATGTCAGTATGTAAACTCTACTTCACCCAGCTCTTGTAATTATGATTACTTATTGATATGATATGATATGTAGATATATATTTCTGTAATGCTGTTTGAACAGACTTGTAAATGAACACAAACTCTGTCAGCATTATTCCAATCTGCAATCAAGAATGGAGATATAAGGGGATTGAGTGTAGCTCAAAAAACTCAGTGAAAGTGCTAGCATTACTCTGCTTTATCAGTTCCTTCTTCGAAGCTTACTAGTTTTAGGCGCTGATTGGTATTTGCTTGTTTTTCGTACTATAATCTAGATCAGGTGCAACTCTTTTGAGCTCCACAGAATGTCTATCTCCAAAACAGAGGAGATGGCCTGAAGATATAGCTTGGCATCCGGAAGGGAATAGGCTAGTTGCTGTATATAGTGCTGATGGTGGGGATAACCAGATATCAGTGCTGAATTTAAACAAAAGCCAGGTACTGGACTACATCCGTGTCTCACCCTCTTGTTATATTATTGTACCATAGATTGTTAATATGTCTGTAAAATAAGGAGATTTGAGAGATGTCTAACTTTTATGACTTTGACAGAGAGCTCGTGTATCTTTCCTGGAGGAGAAGCCGCACATCAAGGGTATCATCAATAGTGTTGCATTCATGCCTTGGGATGATACTTGTTTTATGACAGGTGGTAGTGATCATGCTGTCATATCTTGGAATGAGAAAGATGGTGGTGATGTATGGAAACCAAAGACATTGCATAGGAATCTGCATTCATCTGCAGTCATGGGAGTTGCTGGGATGCGCCACAAGCAAATGGTAGTGTCTGCTGGTGCAGATAAGAGAATAATTGGATATGATGTGCTTGCTGGAAGGGCGGATTACAAACATCAAATAGATAGCAAATGCATGAGTGTGCTTCCTAATCCATGTGACTACCACCTTTTCATGGTTCAGACAGGGTAAATGGCATCCTTAATTATGCAATGATATTCTTCTAAATTGTGTGCTTTTGGCCTCTATATTCTTCTATATTGAGGTGCTGCTTAGTATACAGTTTTGAATTCGAGGGGAAGTTAAAAAATTTTGCAAGAGGATATGAGAATATGTGAAGTGGGTAGGAGGTAGTGATGTGCTTCACACTTTTACTTTTCCTTGCCTGCATTAGGAATCCATATTGTGTGAATCAGCCAATGTTGTGATACCTGGACAAGCTGGTGGTTGCAGGCCAATTACCTGAACTATCACCTCATAAAAGTGGCAATGAAAAGCTAATAGAGCAGTGAGGTATTTGAACTATGAGTACTGTTTGTTTTTGGAATTGATAGATGATTTCATTATTTAATAGACTTTAGGCATCTACAATTATCATTAAATTCAACCACACATGTATCTATCATGTCAAAATCAACATCATTTCCAGTAAAACTAATATTTGACACTTTACACGCTCTTTGTCTTCTCTTTTTCCCATGATGCAGCCTTCTTCTAGGGGCTCCAACCATCTTGGGGACTAGGGTTTGGTTTTAGGGAGGAGAGAAAGAAAGGTAGTGGTGGTATATTTAATCTATAGCATATCTGACTTATAAAATATTAACACTATCATGAATTTCACATTTGAACTATCATGCAAACAACTCTGCATATTGTATCATTGCGCCGGCTCCAAGTTGCATCTTTTTTGCATTCTGTCTAGAACCAGGCTTCTACTACTCTTTTTATTGGAATTTATTCTTAAACGGGTTTGTGGTTGAACTGATGGAAGCAGTTGGTTTTGTCTCTTTTCCCTTTCAAAGCTAGATCTTGTTGGTTCCAATATTAGGTGGTGTACGCTTCTGAGAGTTCTGTCAATATATTTTATTTTAATTGAAAGTAACTATAAGAAGACCACTGATCAGAATATTCTGTTATTCAAGCTTCTAAGCTTCTTATGCATTGTTGTAATCTGAACTGTGCATCAACCATATGAAAATTCAGTGTTTTAAATTTATATTCTGGTTGAGATTAAATGGTATTTTGTCTTGATCATGATTCATGAAGCTTGAAAGTTTCTTTTATTTTGAACTTGTGGAAAACTTTTGGAAATTAGAGTAGAATTTAGCACTGTTATTATGTTATAGGAGGTTGAAATCTTTATTGTTACGCAGAATGCTAGTAATCTGGTGATCCCAAAACTTGAAGCTGCCCTTGTCCCAAAATCATGAGTATGTGTCTTGCTTATGAGTTATGCATTATGTTTCAGGACCCCAGAAAGGCAACTTCGACTGTTTGATATTAGGCTGAGGAACTCAGAACTTCATGCATTTGGGTGGAAGCAAGAAAGCAGTGAGTCTCAGTCAGCTTTAATTAATCAGGCATGGTCTCCTGATGGTCTGTACCTCACTTCGGGTTCAGCAGACCCAATGATCCACGTATTTGATATCAGATACAACTCTCACAAGCCTTCTCAATCTGTGAAAGCCCATCATAAACGGGTTTTTAAGGCTGATTGGCACCCCACGATGCCACTTCTTGTCTCTATATCCTCTGACTTGAACATTGGACTTCACAAGATTTGATGAAAGTCAAGGCGTGTTTTTCTTCTGCTCCAAATTTTTTGATCTTCTTATTTCCCCCTATGTTTTGTCTTGAGGGACACCTCACTTCTTTTGGATTACAGAAAGGAATTGTATGCTATTGTTTTAGGAAGTAGGACAATGCTTAGGGATGCTGCACTAATGCTACAGTGCTGCAGATTTCCTGGGGTGGTTGATAGACAGATCTGCCTTTGTTATATAAACATGATTTTTGACCTATAAGATTAGATTAGCAGTCCAACTGTTTTCCGATTTTCTTTATAGTATATTGGTGTCTGCTTATATGTAAGCTCTCTGTTCTAAAGCTTTCGATAATGGTGTTCGTGTTTGGTTGAATGCTGCTGAAATACAGATCGAAAAAGTTGGGGATTTCTGTTCTACCTGACTGTTTGGTTCGACATTAACTCACTCATGTCTGATTCTGCACCATATACTACAGTATCACAAAATCAGCAATCCCAAACCTGAATATTTTTCAATTGAACTAGAACTGCTGTACAGTATATCTGATTCAACCCATTCTTAAAATTACCCAATACGAAAGACATACTGTTCTGTCCGTAAATAATTATCATGTCAACACAATCCTTTTCTTCGTATGATATAAGGATTTACATGTATCATCTCGACACTCCACCAAAATTCAGCAGTAATGTACAAGTATTGGTAAAGCTATTAATTTTTCTTAAGGTAACTACTAAATCTAGACAACAAAAAGCGTCATGACTCAATTCCGAACAAAAGGAGTATACTTCAAGTTAGAGTGCGTTTAAATGTGTTTGACATTGTATATGTGCTTGAATTTCTGGATAGAGTCGGGTGTGAGGTGACTTGCATAGCTAACCCGAAAAAACCCATTCGTTTTGAACTGTAATCGATCCGAGAAATTCAAAACCCAAACCCGATCTGTAACCGAACTGAACTCTACTCGAATCCGAATTTGACCCGATTTGAACTTAACCTGGCATCGATTTGACCCGACTTGAACTCGACCCGAAATTGATTTGACCCGACTTGAACTCAAACCAAACCGGTTTGACCCAACTTGAACTCAATCCGACCGAAATTGACCCGACAAATACTCGATTCAATCCGAATTGTTTTTTATCCGAACTGATATTAACCCAACCAAATTTTAACCCGACCTGATTATGACTTGACATGATTTCAAACCAATCATAATTTTAAACCCAACCTATTATTTACCCTTTTTTTTTTACTTAAACATATATTAATGACGTGATATGGTAAAATGACACGTGAATGACATGATATCAACCTAATAACAAGATAAATAAAAAAAAATAAAAACTCAATAATTACTCTAGTTTTTAAAATGTACTTATTTGAATATTAAATTTGGTCAAACCAACCAAAAATCAGCCAAACATGAAAAGTATCTAAATCAAAATTGACCGAATACTGAATCAATCTTAGTATTCAAATCGAACTTAGCAGAACCGAAATCAACCGAACTGGAACCAACCCGATACAAAGTCATCAACCCGAAATTAACCTGGTCATATCTGTTTTGAACCCGCTCCGAATTTATCCGAACCGAATATGAACCGATATGAAGTTGACCCGACTCAAACCCGATCTGAAATCGACAGATCTTGACCTGATTTTGATCCGACCCGAAAGTGACTCGATCCGACACGAGGCGGGTTAAAAGGATAGTTTTGAACCGAATATACCCGATTTGAACATACCAAATAAATCTGATCCAAACTCCATCTGATTATCTAAATTGAAACCTCTAGCTGCATGTTAATGGATTGATGGGCCTATCCGATTATCTAAATTGAAACCTCTAGCTGCATGTTAAATGGATTGATGGGCCTAAAATGTCTTACGTGCATTCACCACCAACACCAAAGCAATTCCATCCCATCACTAGTGGGCAATACCACTATATACTCGTTGACTGGCTCACCTGTGTTGATTTTTGTTTTATACATACCGAGCCTATAAGTATATACACACGCGCCTTTCATCGATTACAAGTTTTCTTGCTTTTTGATATGTTAAATTAAAGTTTTGAGAGAAGACATACCTAATTTTTTTTGTATGTACTTTCTTTCAAAAAAATACTAATAAATTATGTACATCAAACTAGCTATATAATACCTGGATTGCTTAATTAAAAAAGGAGAATACAGAGGTTTAGAATAATTGTTTATATTACTTTCAAAGACAAGTATAGCCTCATTTTCGGTCACAAGTCACGACTTATGCAGCTTGTGTCCCTTCTTTTCTAGTCACAATAATATGTTGGATCTTGGGTTATGGCTAGTTAATTTTGTTTATTTCATGATTTGTATTAAACTGTGAGGCTTAATTTGGGTTTTAGATTTTGATCAAAGTTTAAAACTGACTTTTTTTTTTTTTTTTTTTTTTTTTTTTGGGGTAAGTAAGCAATTTATTAACTATGACAAAAAGTTGTAATTAAAGTCTCAATGTTTGACTTGGGAAATTGCAAGTCGGCGGGTCCAGATGGGTTTACTGCAGAAATCTTCAAGATGCACTGGAACATTGTAGGGGACTAGGTAATCTCTATCCAAAGCTTCTTTCGCACTGGGTTTCTTCTGAAAGAAAGGAATCAATCATTACTTGTTATGATTCCAAAAATAGCCACACCGACAGAGGTGGGTCATCTTCATCCGATAAGCTTATGTAATAACATTTACAAGTGCTCTTCGTAGTGCTTAGTTGCAAGAATTTGTTAGTATCTCCCTTTGCTAATCTCCGACTCTTAGCATGCTTTTGTCGACAGACAATATTTTATTGAGTTATGAGTTGATGGAAAAGATTAACTCTTTAAAAACTGGCACCAAATCAAAATTGATATGACTAAGGAATATGATAGAATTAATTGGAGTTTTTTTAATTAAGAGTCCTTAGAGCTTATGGGTTTCCAGATCGATGGCTTCAAATGATTCAATAATGTATCTCAACAGTGTGCTATAAATCTCTTATTAAAGGGATTACCTCAGAAACCTTTAAACCCCATTGCGGTATACGCCAAGGTGATCCTCTTTCACCATATCTTTTCCTGTTATGTATGGATATTTTCTCCCGAATGCTATATTTGAGTCAGGATTTGAGTTTATTTCAAGGTATTAAGGTTTCTAGAACTAGTCCAATTATTTCACATTATTCTTCGCTGATGATGCTCTTATTTTCTTCAAGCCTTGTAGTACTTCATGTACTAATATTGTAGGTATCATTCAACGATTATCCAAAATCTCTGGTCAGGAGCTCAACCTTTCAAAGTCCCTTATCAAGTTTAGCTCTAACTTTACCACTGTGGCTTAAGAAGAATTTAAATCTATTTTTCGAATGTTAAGATGTTTGACCATCATCTTGGTACTCCTATCGATTTCATAGGAAAGAATAAAGTTCACTTCCAATTTACAATCGACAAAATACTGGAGGGTGCTCAACTCAGTTCGCCTTTCTCAGTCGCAAAGGTTATTTTTTATTAACTCCATTTTGGTTGCTATAGCTTCTCATGTCCTTTCTTGTTTTGATTTACCAGCTTCGGTGGCTGGGAAAATTGATTCTTTACTCCTAAAATTTTCTGGTCCAATTCGGAAAATAAAGGAATGCACTGGGTTAACAAATGTAAAATGCATTTGCCTCGAGGCATGGGAGGCTAAGGAATTCGATGTATCTCCACTCTATATAAGGCATTACTCATGAAACAGGTCTGGAGAATTGTTTCAAACCCCCAATTACTCGTGTCCAAGGTTTTTAGTGCTAGAACTCAAATTCTCTTTAACCACCCTCAAGTTCCTCATCGTTTCACTGGTAGGAACTCCTACGGCCTTCGTGGATTAATTTGGGTGATACACTATTACTAGCTGGGTGTAGTTGGAAGGTGGGCAATGGATGTTCCATCCCCGCTGGTATCTCTAATTGGGTCAATGGAGAGATTCCTGAATTCAAACCGGGAATTCCTTTGCAAACTTCTACGGCATGGACTGTTAGTTACTTTATCAATCAACATACTCAATCATGGGATGCTCACAAAGTTTCACAGTGTTTCCAATCTCAGGTGGCTTCTTCAATTCTTGTATTAGAAACACCAAACGTCACTAAATCTGAATTTCGTTATTGGAGTCGGACTACGTCGGGTCGATATTCAGTTAACACTTGGCATGCATTTTTACAAGAGCCGCTGGACCAGCACAATTTGTCTCATACCAACCCCTTTTAGAAAATCCTTTGGTCCCTTGACATACGACCGAAGTGGAAACTATTCTTATGGAAATTGTTAAATAAAGGGTTAGCAGTTAAAAGTGAGCTTTATCATTGAGGGGTTCAGATTCCAAGTTTATTTTGCGATCTTTGTTCCACACAAGTTGAGCATTTTAATCATCTATTTCAACATTGTGATATTGCAAGGGAAGCCTGCTGGGGTGGAAGCCTTGGCATCCATTCAGAATTACATGGACACCTCTCTCTCCCTTAGATTGGATCCAAGATAATATCCAACTTTTTATTAGTCAAGATGGGATTAAGAGTCCCCATATTAGTATATTCATTGGCACTCTTTGGAGCCTTTGGTTATGTAGGAATAATAGGGTGTTTAGGACAGACTTGCCTTTTAATAAGCCCATTACTTTATAGGTTTTGGATATACTCTAGACACATACTATCTTTATTGAAGAAGATATTGTCATTGACAACCTCTATTCTTCTCCAAACAAGAGTGGTTTGCCTCCGCCTGGTTTTCATGCAGCTCAACTGGGGATACAACAATTAGGGTCTTGTCTAGTTCAAGTGCAAATTGATGGGTCATGGTTCAAAGAGTCTCTCAATGCGGGAATGGGTTGGTGTCTTAATAATGAAGATCCTATAGATGATTGGATTATTGGCGGTAGCAATTTTGGGGTTTGTACTTCGGCTTTGCACGCTGAAGCTCTAGCTTTCTTCTATGGATTATAGTGGGCTTTACACTCCAACATTAGGTCCGCTATGGTATTTACAGATTCTCATAATTTAGTTTCTCTTCTTCGTGGTGATGGTCATGGAAACATCAGTTACATGAGGCTCATCCAACAAATTCAGTTGCTTGGATCGAAGTTTTGGCACTGTAATGTGCACAAGGCAGATAAACAACGTGTTCACAGGGCTCACAATATTGCAGGAGAAGCGGCAATTCATTATATTTGCTTTTCTAGTACTATATAATTTGTCTTAATCCTTTGTCGAAAAAAAAGACAAAAAGTTGTACAAGGACAAAGGGGCATACC